CATATATATTCTATGCTTTAAATCCGGTATTATTTTAAGATCTTGAAATCTTTTAAGATAAGATCTCAAGTTATTTTATGATAAAATCTTAAGATCTTCTAAGATAAAATCTTAAGATTTTTTAAGATAAAATCTTAAGATCTTCTAAGATAAAATCTTAAGATTTTTTAAGATAAAATCTTGAGATCTTTTAAGAAAAATTTTTAAGATTTTCTAAGATAAAATCTAAAGATCTTTTAAGATTTATAAGATATTTTTCAAGATGGCTATTGTTACACGGCCCATCTCATCGGTCATTTCATGATGTGTTATATCCGTTAGTTGCTCCTCTGATGTCGGCTTATCCAAAAAATATGGCTGCTAATATGTTTTTAAAATTTTTTTATTGGTTTTGGCAACATTTTTTTAAACGTCATGTTTTATCATTGACTTGCCGTTCAAATAAAGAATTCAAACGCGTTCCAGTTGTGAAATTTTTGTTTAAATTCAATATGATGTTTTTGCTCGAATTTTCTTTCACAAAAACAACGTTTTGAACCGATGTTCCTTTTCGAACATTGATTGTATCTGTTAGTTGATTATGTGTTATCTTCTTATAGCTCGCATGTTCCACTATTTATGAAGATATTTTTATTGCATTTCAAATAAATAACATCATAAACCCAACATCTGCATTCCAGAAAACACTTGCGGTGAGCCTGGTCAGGTCACGTTGATTACTTTATGTAAAATATCAACAATTGTGTTTGATTATTATAATATAATTTGAAGACTTCTAAACCAAACGTCTTCAAGGATTCGCTTGTGAACTTACATACCATTGAACTGCTCTATAATGAGATCTCGTGTCATCTGAATAGCTGCAGTGAAGGAACAGTATTATTTTAATTATAAAATCATACATGTATATGCGCAAAGATTTTCTTATGTTATGATTTCCTCGTGTTAAGTACAAATAATATCCTAATAACTATTCTTACCCATCTACCTAAACCATTTCCACTGGTACAGAAGATTCCATGGAATGCTACCATTCCTCCACCTCACCAGCTTTGGAATTCATTTCTCATTTTCCTAAAATATTTTTTTGCATTACAGCAAAGCTGTTCGATAAAAATATTACATGGAATGAATATTGGAGGTTGGTAAAAATTTTTTGCTTGGTTATTAAATTTAATCAGCTATAAAATTCACTTTTGAATGAATTCTATGAGTTGGTAATCTCGCGAATATTTGAACGCAAATAGCAGGAGGTTCCCATAAATGCTGCATCAATCTTTGCCAAGGATCAACCTTCCTTCCTTCCAAAATTAAATTCCACGATATTGATCTAAAATTAATTACAAAATAATTTAATCAACCTTCCTCTAAAAAGAAAGTCCTCACACTATCATAGTATAGTAAAATAAATCGCCGGGAAAAAGCTAAGCTATCCGATGAAAATGCTGGACGAGCGTCCGGGTGCAGGGAGGCCAGGGCCGTCGAGCAGCCGCAGCTCAGCCGCGATGCGCGCGGCGCGGCGGTCGAAACTTGTGGGGTCCAACTCGTGTCTGGGGGACAACGGAAATATTGCCAGGAAAATGAGGAACAATGAACGTATTTTGTCAGGAACATGGGGAACAACGTACGTATGTTGCCAGGAAAATGAGCAACGTACAGATATTGTCAAGAAAGGAGAGAGCAAGGTACATATATTGTCAGAAAAATGAGGAGCAACGTACAGATATTGTCAAGAAAGGGGAATAACGTACGGATGTTGTCAGGAGAAAGCGGGGAGGAACGAGATAGAAAATAAGATAATATCGAGTAATTCAAGAAAAGGTATAATGTATTCAGTAGCTGTAACGGAGAAAAAATAAGTAGGAGACATGACTTTGATAAATAATTTTCACTGAATTTAAATTTTCCCAATTTCGGATTATTGAGCAGATGGCGCGCTTGTGTTCGTACATATGTTCTGTGACACGGCCTGATATACGCACTTTTTATGTTTTTTAACTGATACGGCCGTGTGATACTGCTTACCTGATACGGCCAAATTGATACAGCTACATGATACGAAGAAGTGATGCAGCTTACTCGATACGTCCTAATTAAAACGGTGCACTTGATGCGGTCTAATTGATACAGCTACATGATACGGAGAAGTGATGCAGCTTACTCGATACGTCCTAATTAAAACGGTGCACTTGATGAGGTCTAATTGATAGCGCTCATTTAATACGCACAACGTATGCAGCTGACCTGATAATAGCACGCAGAGCAGCAGTTGTAAGCGCCATGTTCCTGCTATGCTGATACTGCTGCTGCTTGTGCCTGTATACATCTGCTGCGTGCTCGTTGCGAGCTTCTCTTGCAGCTGTAGAGGCCTCCTGTCAAATATTTATTCATTCTCGTTGTCGTGGCCCTTCCTGTTATAAGAGGGGATAAATTGCAACTCGCGGTGCGCTGAGACTCACACGATAACAACGGGAGTGACCAGTGACCACTGAGTCACTGACCATTTAATGGTCAGTGACTGGTGACCAAGGTGCTCAAAAATCACATACGAATCTGCTTACTGCTATTACTCACTACTCAGTAGGCCTATTAGTTTTATTAATTGCAATTGTTTAAAATTCTGTCTATTATAATCTAGGATGGAATTTTGGGAATTGTTATTTTAATTGCCAGAATTACAGATAAAAATTTGTGATTAGCCTATATTTTAATTTGAGGAAAGAGTACCTATGAAAAGTTGGAAACTCACCCAGGGTTTGGTAAATGCTAATTCTTGCACAAGGTAAAATTAGAAAATTTAGACTTTATACAGTAAAATTACAGATGTCTCACATATTTAAATCTTGTTTGAAATTTAGTGGCCGTATTGTTATATTTTACTTACCATTTGGTTTTATTGCAGATAATCATATATAGAAATCTCAAATTCCATAAAATGTTAAATAAGCTTTTATGACTGAAAGAGGGCCAAACTGTTGATAGTCCAGGAAAAATAAGGTTTCTCCTGGAACAAAATGCAAAAGAAATTATTTTTTCACCAATGCTCCAGAAGGGAATTAGATACCGTCAACCAGGGCTACTCGGACGGGCAGGGTAACTTGGGACAGTCCTCCGACACGGCATAAAACTGTTTTAGTAGCCAAACTAATTGGAATATTGCAAAACTAAATATAGTGGCATAAATGTCAACATTTTTCTTATCTATATAGTATAAAAGAAGTTCAAAAATACTACATTTACTAGCTTTGAAAAATTCCTGAAAAAATGGTGAAAACGATATTTTGAAAAAGTTACTTCTGCTAAGGTCTGTAGTAAAAAAAATATTTGCTGTATTAANATTTACGGTAGAACCTCAGTTAGCAAAGGCTCCAGTTAAGAAAAAAATTGAATAAAAACAAAGAATATTGATTACATTTACCTCCCTGAGGGAAAAAAAGTTCACTTTTCCTCACACAAATTACAAGCCCTCCTTTAAGCTTACAGATACAGAAAAAAATGCTATAAGGCTGGGGATATGAAGCTTGCAGTGAACAAGGTTGTTGTAAATGCTCAATGGCATGCTCATGGATACAGTAATATCACATCAACAATACAGTAATAACCCATCAATAATAGGGTACCATCAACTGAGGGATTCAGCCATGTTCATAATGATGGCCAAAGCTGGGTCATAAACGGTCATAAACAAAGGCCAAAGTCACTCCGGCGTTTATGACCTGGTTTACAACCCTGGCGTTTACAACCCCGGCGTTTACGACCCCGGCGTTTACGACCCCGTGTTTAGGACCCCAGCATGAATCAAAAATAAGGCCCAAGTCACCCCAGTTGACGGTAATTAATGTTTATGGTAATATCATATCAATAAAGGAAAAACAAGTAAAAATCACAGAAAAATGTCATTTATTCTACCTCTACATCATCTACAATGAAAGAGGCGGACTTCAGAGTACTGTTAGTAATGGATGAGTATGCTCTGCATGCTTCAAGACCGACTCCGCTACTCGGGACAATCTTTATTTTGCGTCTGGCACCTTACGAATAGCATATGGAATTTTTTTGACAATGCCATTCGATAGCCCTCACAAAGAGCTATAAGATGAGCCTAAATTTGTTTATGAAATGTTTCATCATAAGAAGTTATTAACAGTTATTGACAAAAAAACGATCGATCAAATCTGTCCCGAGTAGCCCCAGTTGACGGTAATTCAAACCACTGCATATCAACATATAGATTACTTTGGCAGCCATTTTGAAAATTACTGATTTTAAGCCTTTCCACCAATTATATTTTAGAGGATTTTTTATATGTATTTTCTGAGGCCTTTCTGCATGTTATGGTGATGGCCCCCTTTTTTCACTAGGTTTCCTGGACTATAAGTAGGGCCTTTCAGGTTGAAATATTGTCAGCTGTTCAAGATGAAAATTTTTCTATGTATTAATATTATTTAATGGCTTTAGACTGAAATTTTTAAGAAATTTAGAATTTCAAGGTAGATGTATTCCATGCTTGCCTTTGTTACGTAAGTTACATATTACATCCTTGTTATGGGCCCTATGCCTAATGAAGTTCTGTGTCTTCTTTGTGCATAGGATCTTCTTTACCCACTTCTATGAGGATCTTATTTCAAGTCTCCCCAAGCTTTCTACCATCTTAACCATTAGTTGGTTTCCAAGTTCAGTTGCAGCTTGTAGGCCTGATTACAAATGTTTAAGCAACACTAAATGTATTCCATAATGAAAAATAAATTATTCTTGTATATATTCATATTATTAGTATTTCTATAAATCAGCAAATCTGCCTTGCTAATGATTTGAAAAATAACAAATTTGATAAACAATTTTTGAAGAAAATAATGTTTGGAATAGAAAACTCTCACACCATTCACATTATACCATACTCTTCAGACTGGATTGTTATAGAAATTGAACCAAGTTAATGGTTTTTTTTATTACCTATGCCATGCATTACTGAAACTTACTGAAACTTACTTTTTTTTCAGGATCTGACATACTTCACAAAGAAGGAAATCCTTTAGTAAGTAATAAATAAATGTTTAAAATGTATTTTTCAAAAGTGGTGTTTTACATTGGTTTCATATTTTGGTTATTAACATTAATTAATCACTACATGTGACAAATACTGTTAACTTGTGTTCACATCCAAGAATATTGAAATAGACAATTATTGGCAAAGATACAATAGTACATGAAAAAATTAACAATTATACAATACTGACTTTCAAGGTTTTAAGTTGCATCACTTGTATTGGGAGCTCCAACTTTCATGGTTTGTGCATCTATTAACAAATTAGTATAAGATGGCAGAATTTAATAGTTTATACACGTACGATTGATGACCAGAGAATTAGTTGACTTATATTATCAGGGAGTGGAACTTTTCTTCAGATGACGGTAGATTAAAAGGCAAGTTTCAGGAAGTAGTCTTTCTTTATTAACGACGTTTCGAATGTAACAAACATTCATTTTCAAGTTAAAGAAGCATTATACATTGAAATTTTGGTGGAAATAAGTACATAATATATGTAACTAGGATACAAACGTAAAATTTTGAACCAGAAATTACTCGGAAAATTCTTTCAGAGTTCAGACAAATCCGGTAGTCTGAAAATAGCTGGAGTCCAATCTGCAGAGATGAGAGGTTCAGCTGTCGCCGGTTGGTTGTTGTCGGGCCACTGCATGATCATGATGCTGGTGAGTACCTTCAGCACAATGCGAGTGACNTTTTTCTGCTAAAACTAGATTTAGACATCAATATATTGAATTGTAGGTTTTTTGAGCACCATATTTGCTTATAAAGTTCATTTGTCTTTTTTTACCCATTATCAATTATTTGTGGTAATAAAATCCTGATGTCTGCCCATGTATTAAATAAAAGTTCTTAAATTTATCAGTACCAATTGATTTTTGTTACTTTGCAATGCATTACTGTCATCATACAAAATAAATTGTAAATTGTCATAAATTGGATCCAATGACCTTTTTAAATAATGTACCGTATGGATTCTACTTGAAAATGTATTTCTTTGTTTTACAAGTTAATTGTATATTCTACATTTGTTTCAGTGCCCACAACCATTTCCAGAAGTTGGCCCCTGAAAAAGTTGGTCACAATCCTAATGCCAAGCTGCCCATGGACAAGCTCCTCACCCTGCCAGAGCTGCGAGCCAACCCTTTTGCTGACCGTATATGTCAGGTGTTCTCTTCATCAAAAGTATGTAAGATGTTGACATACGTATTCTTTGTTCATTTAACTTTCATGGAATGCCCAGCTTTAAAACATGAAAAAATTATTTTTTTTTTTAAATCTCAGTCATGAGTAATATGCGGGCGGCACCAGTACCTACCGTACATGTTTTTGGAAAAATTGTTTTTTATTACTGACATAATTTTCCATCATATTATTTTTTACTATGTGAATAAATAGACTTCTTTGTCCATGCTACTCATCAGTATAGGTATACACCATACCTATGTTACTGCCAGTGTTGCCATCTTGCCCTGCTGGTAGTAAAATGGATGCAAAAATACACCAAACTAACAGTAAACTAATTCACCGCCACTCTTCCTACCCTTCTAAAAGTAGGTACACTCCACTGCCCAATCTCGTATTGCGTGAATTTTTGCAGTAAAATTAATCACAGTTGTGCACTGTATATGGCAGGATGGCGACTGCACCTTTGAAGACTTTCTCGACATGATGTCAGTCTTCAGTGAGGCTGCACCGAAGACTGTAAAAACAGCCTATGCTTTCAGAATTTATGGTTTGTTCTGAAATTTTTTTGAACTCTCTGAGATTTGGCAATTCAATTTTGTTGCAAATAGTTAGTCTTAAAAGAATTTAACCAAGAAAGAATGAAATGTTTGAGCAAAGACCAGAATATATAATGTTCTTTTAATCCAGATTAAAAATAAAGTTCTAAAGATATATTATTTTAAGAATTTTTGAAATGTTAGTGTGTTGGAAGCAGAAAAAAATTACCATGTATCATTTATTGGTAATTTCTGAATATTATTCAGTCAGCCTAGCAGTACTCAATTCTAACTCTCTACTATTAGCATAGCCAGATTTAATATCCATATAAATTCGTCCGCCCATTCTAGATGAAAATAAATATCATAACCAATAACTTAAGGATATATTACGTCTCATTATTATTTCTACGCTTGAATAATGATAAAAATATGCAGATTTCGACGGCGACGAGTACCTGGACCGCAGCGACCTGACGCAGGTCGTGTGCCGCCTCATCGGTGGCCGGCACGTCACTGAACCGTCCCAGCTGGTGGCCGACCTCCGCATGAGCTCCTCAGATGTTGACATCCTCGTATCCAAGATACTTGAGGAAGCCGACCTCGACGACGACGGCAGACTTGCGTACGCCGAGTTCGACCACGTCATGTCCAAAGCTCCAGATTTTGCCAAGTAAATCAAAATAAAGTGCAGCGCTCAACGTAATCAGTCGCGGGTGAATTCAATATGAAGGAGAAAGTATTGTGTTGAAGGATTTGCTATGAATTAATACACTTATCATATGAACACAGGGCCATTAACGCCTTGAACACTGCCACCATTGTTAACTAGAAAGCTTTAAAGATGTAAAAGTTAAATGCGAATATTGAGCAATTATTTTTAATAGCTCGAAATATTGGCTCTTCGAACTTTGCCAGAAATGTTTCCATACATACATCGTCAAAAATTACAGTTTGAAATGTTGTCCAGTGTAGTTGCTGTTATTTTTGCGTACCATGTATTTGTTATTTGTTATTTCATACCAATTATCGTGGAGAAAGTTATCTAGAAAGAAATTCCTGGTCAGAGTAGGACTCGGGTGAGCTAATATTAGCTAGTTAGCAATGCAATTACGGTATTTTGCGTAATCTTCGTGTTTTTGTTATCAATTTTATCAATTATGTAATCATATGAATATTAATGAAAATTATGTAATCATATGAATATCAATGAAAATTATGTAATCATATGAATGTTAATGAAAATTATGTAATAATATGAAGGTTAATGAAAATTTTCTTTTGCAGTTCCTTCTTGATCCGCCTGTGAAGTACAAGTCTGGTGACGGTCTTCTCTTCCCCACGCGCTTCCCTCTTCAGATCAATTGGCAATCTCAAAATAATGTGTTCAAAACTTTAATTGGTGATAGGGTTATAGTGATGTAATTATCATAGTAATTTTAAATTATTATTCTGGTAGTTACTAATTTATCTTACGGTATCGTCGATTTAACTTGGGTTATTAAGTTTGGTAAGGGAAATAAGAAACGCTCTAAACGATGTGATAAAAAGAATGTTAAAGGATTCAGTTTCACATTAAAAGTTATAACATTACTGATGAGTTCAAAATCTATGCTTGCAAGTTCTTTGTTGCATATGTTTTTGTAGCTACTTTTTGATTCTGGATACAAGTGATTTTTATTGATTTTTTTAACGAGTGAGCGATTTTTGTGAAATAAAGCTTCCTTCCATGATTAGATCTGCTTNCATATGTTTTTGTAGCTACTTTTTGATTCTGGATACAAGTGATTTTTATTGATTTTTTTAACGAGTGAGCGATTTTTGTGAAATAAAGCTTCCTTCCATGATTAGATCTGCTTTATAATATGAACGCGTAAATTAAGTGTTATTCAGTTAAGGTTGATTTAGCTAGTTCAGTGTTGTTTACTAATGATTATATATCAGAGGAAGAATTTTTTTTCGTTTGCTTAATTTAAATATTTCCATTATCAACATGAGATCAGGAGTAGCTGTTATGTGATTAGTATCAGCTGCCACAAATTAACGTGATCTCGCTAGTGCTTTATTTTTGCGGCCCCAGAAATCATTCATAATAATCATTATAATAATCATTCATTCATTATAATCATTATCAGCTGCCAGAAATTAACGTGATCTCGCTAGTGCTTTATTTTGCGGCCCCAGAAATCTTTCATAATAATCATTATAATAATCATTCATTCATTATAATCATTATCAGCTGCCACAAATTAACGTGATCTCGCTAGTGCTTTATTTTTGCGGCCCCAGAAATCATTCATAATAATCATTATAATAATCATTCATTCATTATAATCATTATCAGCTGCCAGAAATTAACGTGATCTCGCTAGTGCTTTATTTTGCGGCCCCAGAAATCTTTCATAATAATCATTATAATAATCATTCATTCATTATAATCATTATCAGCTGCCAGAAATTAACGTGATCTCGCTAGTGCTTTATTTTTCTTACCCATCTACCTAAACCATTTCCACTGGTACAGAAGATTCCATGGAATGCTACCATTCCTCCACCTCACCAGCTTTGGAATTCATTTCTCATCTTCCTGAATAAATTTTCAGCATTACAGAAGCTGCTGAATCAAACTATTTTATGGAATTAATATTCGAGATTGGTAGAAACTTTTACTTGGTGATTAACTTAATCAGCTATATGGGTAAATTCACCTTTGAATGAATTCTATGAGATGGTATTCTCGCGAATATTAGTACGCAAATGGCAGGATGTTCCCCATAAAAGCTGCATTAATCTTTCCCGAGGATCAACCTTCCTTAAAAGAAAATCGTGAAACGGAGGGATCCTTCACTTCCTGAAATTATCATCGTATAGAAAAATAATATGCGTTTGAAAATTACTTTTTAAGGACAACACTTCTGAAAAATACAGTGTCTGCGATGTTACACATGTGCAATGAATTTCAAAGTTTATTTTTATATATTTAGAAAAGTAATTTTTAATTTTTGTTTAATATTCAAAAATATTAAATGTTCAAAATTATTAATTCTGTCAATTGATTCGAGCATTGTCTCCGACTTTACGCAAGTGTGCAAACATTCAGATCGATTGAACTGGTAGAAGTGTGTTAAATATCGATTGTTATATTTGTATCGGATAAAAATATTTTTTCAATTTTTTTAGTATCGAAAAAAAGTTTTAATTTTTTCAATTTTGTTAATTGAATCATGCATTGTCTCTACCTTTATGCAAGTGTGCAAACTTTCAGATCGATTGGACAGGTAGAAGCGTGTTAAATGTCTATAATAAGATTTGTAGGAAACAAACAAGAAGTGAAGTAGTTAAAGAGAAGTGTTGTTGTAGCAAACAAACAAGAAGTGAAGTAGTTAAAGAGAAGTGTTGTAGCAAACAAACAAGAATTGAAGTAGTTAAAGAGAAGTGTTGTCATAAATCGCCGGGCAAAAGCTAAGTTATCCGATGAAAATGCTGGACGAGCGTCCGGGTGCGGGGAGGCCAGGGCCGTCGAGCAGCCGCAGCTCAGCCGCGATGCGCGCGGCGCGGCGGTCGAAACTTGTGGGGTCTAACTCGTGTCTGGGGGACAACGTAATATATTGCCAGGAAAATGAGAAGCAACGTACAAATTTTGTCAGCAACGGGGGAACAACGTACTTAGGTTGTCAGGAAAAGGAGGAGCAACGTACAGATATTGTCAGGAAATGGGGGAACAACGTACTTAGGTTGTCAGAAAAAGGAGGGGCAACGTACAGATATTGTCAAGAACGGAGGAATAACGTACGTATGTTGTCAGGAAGTCTGACAACATATAAAATAAATAAGTTAATAATATAGAGCAATTCAAGAAAAAGTATAATGTATTCAGTAACTATAACAGAAAAAAATAAGCATGAGACTTTGGTCAATAATTGTCACTTAGCATAAAATTTTCCCAATTTCGGATCATTGAACAGATGGTGCGCTTGTGTTCGTACATGTGTTCTGTGATACGGCCTGATATACGCACCTTTTATGTTTTTAACTGATATGGCCGTGTGATACTGCTTACCTGATACGGCCAAATTGATACAGCTACATGATACGGAGAAGTAATGCAGCTTACCCGATACGTCCTAATTAAAACGGTGCACGTGGTGCGGTCTAATTGATATCGGTAATTCAATACGCACAACGTATGCAGCTGACCTGATAATAGCACGCAGAGCAGCAGTTGTAAGCGCCATGTTCCTGCTATGCTGATGTTGCAGCTGCTTGTGCCTGTATACATCTGCTGCGTGCTCGTTGCGAGCTTCTCTTGCAGCTGTAGAGGCCTCCTGTAACGCGGCTTCGCGCTCACGCTCCCTGGGAATCGCACATCCAGAAAATTCTTACTGTTTTCCTTTTTGGGGGGGGGATTCAAGCTATCATTTTTTGGCTGATACTAAACAATTTAACGTTAGTAATGATATAAATTCTAATAATTATAATAGAAATACTTAATTATCTTCAGTGTAATTACATAATTATCTTTAGTGTAATAACCTAATTATCTATTGCGTAGTTGAAAAATTAATAGGGCGAATTCAAGCAAATTTCCCTCGATTCTCAATGTTAATTAAGCCAGTATGCGTTTAGATTTCTTTTTATGTTCCATGAAATGTCTCTCGGATCTCTCAGTTTTGATGACATTGCCTATTTTAAATCCCGTTATATTTTACAATATTGTTATTTCTCATCACTAGTAAGGTTTTTGGTATAATTTTTCGAGGAGTTTTGGCATAAGTTGTGAAATTTTTTTTACCTGATAAGTCGACGTTGATGTTGCCGCTGTCGGGCCTGCAGCTGCTCTGCCACTACACCTGCTCTGCGCTGCAGCACCTGCGACAGTTTGTGCTCTGCAGCAGCACACGCTGACAGCTGCTTGTGCAGCACCGTGTGCCGCCAGTGCAGCAGTGCAGCTTCCAGCTGCTGCTGCACCGCCTGTGCAGCGTGACAGCGCCGCTCACGGTCCATCCTTTGTACAGTGATTATTCCAAAATTCAATAATAATTTAGTATAAAGAATGACTAATAATTAATTTTATAATAATATAGGAAAAAAAATTTAGGCTAGAAGTATTTCAATAATTACTTTTTCAAAAATGAGCCCTGGAAGAGAAACTGATATGTCTAACTACATTATCGGTAAAACGTCAGAGTTACGTGTATAAAATTGCTACTAAAATACCGTGCTTGGTTAGCGAATAATTAAGAAATTAACCGATGCATATCATTTAAAAACACTAAAAACACAATAAAAATTCCCAAAAATTATTTCCTATTCACTGACTTGGCTTCCATGATTTTGCTTTGTTTGAGAATTTGAATGCGCTGCAGATTGTGTTGCGCTCTCAACAGCTTGTTCTGCATGCTGCAGCGTAGTTCTTCCAGCAGCTGTTGTCCTTGCTTCTGCACCTGTTCTGCACGCTCTGCATGTCGTGCAGCTTCTGCACAACCCTCTGCCGTCTGCCGCTGCACATAAAAATCCCGACTGTCAATCCTATAATAATATAATATAATGTAAAATAATATAATATAATATAATATAATATAATATAATATAATATAACATAATATAATCCTCTCACTTTAAATCCTATCACAATCATGCTTTGAAATTTGTCATGGATTAATTCGGTCAGTAGCTTTTATTATTGATTTAATGATCAAGGCTTCACGAGCGAATTATCTAATTTCAATTGGATTACAAGAAAATCAGTTACACTAGATAAGATAATTAATGGAAAATTATTTTTAAAAATTATAAATCTCTAATGAATAGCAGAACCTATCCGGCGTGCATCAAGAAGACAAGCAAACTGATAATGCTAACTGTAAATTATTTTACTTAAATGAGGTGTAAAACATCGAAGTCCCAATAACTGAAGAAAACAACACAAGATCTGCTTACCATAAAATTGAAATACATCTAGTTAATAAGTAATCCATTGAAGAGCCATAATCGAGCATTTATTTTAAAAACTGACCCGCAAAAAAATTAACTGTGAGGATTAAAAGTGAGTTATACAAATGTATTCACCTTCCTAGCAGCTTGTTCGCGTTCCCTTTTCCTGTTTTCTACGAGCGTCTGTTGGCGCTCCCACAAAGCCAACAGACGCCGTCTCTGTTGCTCGTCCGCTTGTCTCTGTTGTTCTCTGTGCTGGCGAGCGGCTGTCGTGCGTGCTTCTTCCGCTGAGGCTCGACACGCGCTGTTCTGAGCCTAAAATTGTGACAGAAAAAAATACTCAGTCTGCTGATTTCAAAGGAATTATAAAATATTCAGCAGCAAAAATTTTCAATTGTTTGAATTTATTTTTGAGGTACGATTCGAAAAATTTGGATGTTCACTTCCACAGCGTCGCGAGATTATTCAATTTCGTTCCAGTTTCTTCCAAGAAAACGTGACTATTTTCAAAACATCAGTTTTCACTTATTTATACTAACATAGAAAATGGATAAATTTGATGTAAATTTCACCAAATTACGAACTAACCAACACTAAAACTTGATACAAACCCATAATTTCTATCCAAATGCATAGAATAAATGCTCTTACCCTGACGTGGTCCCGACGTCGGAGCATCTCCAGAGATCTCTCTTCCTTG